ACACTTTTTGTAATTTCATGAAAGTAAGAAATACTTACTTATTCTGGTGTTTGGCTTGAAATTCCAGAATATAAATACAAGCTGTAAAAATACGAATTGAAATTTCTCATTGTTTTTGTGTTGTTTTTTTTTAATTTTCAAAAAAACTAATCGATTAGCCTGTATTTGTGTATCAAATACAGATGTAAATCTAGGCAATATAGTGATGGAGGCCATCATAACTTGAAAAAATTTAGATTGAGTCCAGTTTACCACTTATCTAACACCTTTCATGCTAATAAATATTTCTCACAATTACTTTGATTGTTGAAAACATTCATTTAAATTGTCAGAATTTAGAATGTTCAATAATCTTGTCACCATTTCATATCGTTATTTCAACTCTAAATTGTTTTTACATTTATAAAAATATTAAGAAACATAATATCAGGTGTTTTTTTTTAATGACCACTAATATGAAATTAAAAAGCAACTCTATTAGTTGGTCGTTCATTTTTATTATGATTCTTTAAAGATATTATCAGACACAGAATGGTAAACAGTATGAGACTCATCATAAATGTTCATCTATTTCTAAGCTCACGTTTGTGAAAGACGAAAAGTGAGGAAAATATAATCAATGAAAATTATTTTATAACAATTTAGTAGGTTTGCATGTTGGAAGAAAAGAAAACATGATTCAAAGTAAGATATAAAAGTTGTAGAGTACTACTATAAGGTTAAGAATGAATACATCCGAATTAACGCTAATGATCTTGAGTTACACCACCCAATCTCCCCGATTACACATTACAGTTGTGCTTCATTGCCTAACGGGAAGACTGTGTTTCCCTACAAGACCATAACAAGAGGTTAGTAATTTCATGAACTACTGATGTCGTGACTTGGTTCAGTCAACATAGACCCTTTCACAATCGGCATGAAGTATAGTTCGTAGAAAAGACCAAGGAAACCATGTTTAACTAAATCAAACTTAACAAAAGCGAATTTCGAGGAGATTTGAGAGTTGTAAATGCAATCCTGTGAGAAGTCAGTGGCGACCCGAATAGCTCATTGGTAATTTCTGTAAAGGTACGTAAGTTTAGATTGAATTTGTCAAGGAAAATAATTTCCTTCAGGATTGCAGTTACACCTTGGTGACGTGTGCCAAATATTGAAACTTATGTTCGTGGTTTCTTGTCAACCATCTTCAACTACCACCTACCTTACATGATAATGCCTTTTATTCTCCTTAGAGAACTTTCGGTGTGATACTTTGTTACATTTCTAAGCGTTTTGAACATCTCTCAAAAATCTTAATTAGAGACTGGTTAGCACAAACACCAAATGAACTTAAATTTGTTTCTATTTTTATTTGTCTATTCAGATATAACAGGAACTTTATGCCGAAACTAATATTGTTTTTTACACAGCTGATTCTCTATAAAAATTTAAATGTGCCAAGAAAGATATTCATATATATAAAGCTATCATGAAAGCAAAGTTGGTTCTCCATTTTCATAATAAATCTTTGCGTAAAAATTTAAGAGTAATCGAAAAGCAAAATTCCAACTTCACAGTATTTTAGCATTATTTTAAACGGTTCACCATTATCTACGATTTTCAGACAATAAGCATTAAACCGGCAATTGACCATCATATTTTCATTTGATTGACAATTGCAATATCATAGATAAATATTAATCATTTAAACATTAGGTGATACCGATCTATATACATATTAACTTATGAGTTGAGATGGGTTTTTTTACATTTTTTCCGTGTTTACTTGTTTATCTGTTTAATCTCTTTTCACTTCCTTTCTTCCGTTGCTTCTCCTTTTTCCCTTTCATTTTTAATGTTCTTTCTCGTTTTGCCTTATAAATGTTTTTGTCATAAAAAAGATTACCATTCAAGATCACCATTCAACTTGTACATTTACGGTATGGTAAGTATACAGGAGGGAAACGGAGAAGCATAATGTATTTATTTGTGTATAATTAACAAATCCTTACCATTACAGACCACAAAATCAGTTGTTCATCAACTGTCTAATAAGTATCATGATTCAAAATGATAAAGAATTATTTTATTGGAAATACGAGCCGACTTAAGTAAAATAATCGTTCGATACTAGGGAACAGTGGGGAATCTCTAGAAATCGTTATACTGAAGATTATCATGTCCTTACTTGTGATTTATTTCCACAGGTGGTTGCAAGAGTTCTGATGGGAAGTTGTGACTAGTGCTATTTAACTGTGTTAGATGTAAGAGTTACTCACTGAAGACACTAGAATATCATACAAGTTGGATCCACACATTATCGGGTGACGCTCCGATGATCTCAAGGTTAAGTGTTTACTGAGAAACCTAAGGATCGTAATTTTAAACAACGGTGGGGTCGCGGAGGTCCACTGCTCAGGAATCCTATGCTAGAACGAAGTAATAATTCAGTCTCTTCTGGTTTTATTACCTTATCCAACATGAGTTGGTTTCTGATATCACTAGCACTCAACAATCTCCACAAATCCCAACCCTGAAAAAATTATTTGTCTGCCTTTGAACATCTCTATCTGTCATAAAATGGTATACGACAATGATGAGAGTAAAGTCCATACATAAAATGATGTACTTAGTTAGAACAGTTGTCGTTTTTTTTGTAGGATGAATAAAATTTTAGTCTGCCATCAAGTTTTTATCTTCTTCCTTATATCTGCGAGTCATAGTGTTTCTCTCGTTTTTAGTACCAGTTTTGGCAAGCAATACTGTATCATTGAAACACAATTTATTCCGGAAACTGTTTGCACAAAAATAAAAATCAAACGTCGATGATCACGTAACAGTCGTTTTGCCCAAATATGAACTTCCTCAACAGCATGGATACATTAAATTACCAAGGTCTAAAATATTCAGGCCCTATATCCAGCTCGTTATGTAGTGAAGGAGAACACAGGTGAGGACAACCGAATTGTATTTATCACAAAATTACAGAGTTACTTGGTGAAATAGAGAAACCATATAGTAAATCGTTAATTTGCAAAATATCATTCCATCATATCAACCGGATTGTTGCTGTTGCGATCATCAATCCACTGTCTCACATTTCATTGTTCACGCGGTTTCTTATAAATTCCATTGTGTTCTCGCTCTTCCTTTCTTGATCTTTCCCCATCTTCTGCTGCCAAACAATACGTTCTTTAACTCGCGTTATACACTACTTATATCACCGCAGTTACTTTGAGATCACCTAGAAAGAATTCAATATTTTGCACTTTCAGTTTCAATCAATCGGTGATATTTCCGAAGTACGATTTATCCTCGTTTTTGGTAATCTTATTTCCGTAAGTCGACTGAAGTAAAATGTGTAAATGTTGGGTATCAGCTCATTTTCCCAGGATTTCAACGCTTTCCGCTCCCGAAGAGCCACACACTAGGACGAAACTGATGTCAAGTGTTTACTAGTTTTCATGGGTTGTTTGACTATTGTTGAACCGTAATGTAAACTCTAAAATATTGTTTCAATCAAATTGTTCTCAAACTATTCTGACATTGAAGTATTGAGAAAATTATTCTCAAAATTATTCACAAAACTAAAACAGAAAAATTTCAGTTTCCGTATCATCATATTTATAACAATGATTTAAAGAAAAATCAGGTTTTAAGTGAATCAAAACAGCAGAATAGATTTGAATGCGTCTGAATACCTACTGTAAAAAATGTGATAAATAAGCGATCTGCTTCAACAAATCATGTTTTGATTTTTAATGTTGTCTAAGTGATATTAACTAGAAAACAAAATTCAACTGTCTTCTGTTTTATTATTAATTACCTGGTAATATTAAATAGTTTGTTTTCCGACCCTTGGTATTAACGAAATTTCATTAGCTTACGAAACTGGCTTTCATTTGGTGAGTAATCACCGTATATTAGTTGAACAATATGTCACACAAGACCAGAATGACGTAGTTGTAAAGACTTTGTACCTAAATGACAAAGTTTTGAATCCCAAGAAGAATTTAATTTTCTTTGAGCATTCCAAAAACTTTTAAATGTTATTCAGTGTCTGTAGAATCATGACCAAATCGACTTAAATAATATCTTTCAGTTATTCTCGGTTTGTTACATCAAAATAGAGTCTACGTTCGAACTATTTAGTCTAATTCGAATAATTTAAATAAATATTTTTAAATAACTATAGTCTTTTGTTGCAGTAATCAAGTTAACCACTATACGATAAAAATGAATTCACTATGTTCTTATAAAGCAAATTAATGAAAAATTATATCTACATTCATCTATTTCAAACCTATCCACTAATAATTTCATATTAGGTAAATTCAACTTTCAATTGTATTAGTAGTTATTCCCGTGCAAATCACTAATATTAATATACGCTTAATCTGATAATTAACATTTGAATCAAAAAGATAAAATCTCGAAATAAAGATCATTTTCAATTTTACTTAGAATTATGTCAAAAACATAATTCCATCATGAATTGATTTTATTTAAACTACTATAAAATTAGATAAATTTTTTTATTATTATTATGAGTTAGACTTTAAATCTACTCAGCTGTATAAATAAAGCTAATTCCCGATAATGTTCCAGGGAAGTGGTTTCACATCAAGTGCCAAAGAGAGTAGGAATTCTTTCTTACTGATTGTCAGCTTAGTGACATAGTAATAGTAATATTAATAACAATATATATCAGAACAACATAACTTACTTAAACTTAATTGTTAGTTAGCTGACATGAATGAGTGAATTAGTCTAAGTGATCTTGAACATGTTAATCTGATAATATTTCATTTCCTCTTTGTTAAAATAAGCTTTGAAATGTATATTTTAAAAAAAAATTTCCTTTACCATTGAATGTATTTGTACATAAGTATTCATAGATATCCAATCTGAATCAAAGTTCACATATATTATTGACTTATTGATTATTTCAAATTTAAAAATGAGTCGATATATATATATATATATATATATATATAAATACCAAAATTGAAATATCCCATATTTCGGTAGAATAATTTTAAAGAATACAAATAAACTTGATTTTTTTTAAATGCTTTTGAAAATTATCATTTTAATTTATGGATTGATTATTATACTAATTTATCGAGAAGGAAATACTTTGAATTATTTATCGCAGGAATGTGATAGTAAATCAGAATGGGGCCCATGGCGTTGTCCTGGTATAAGAACAAAATGTACTGCTAACATTGCAACACGTTATAAATGCATCGGTGGAAATTGTACAAGTGATAGTTTATGTGCTAAACTTGAAAATCATACTGTAAGTAACAAATGTTGGTATTATATATATATATATATATATATATATATATATTATATATATATATATATATATATATATATATATATATATATATATATATATATATATATATATATATATATATATATATATATATATATTGTCTAGCTTTAGTCAGTCCGTTATTTGAAGTACGTATATACAATAACCGTTGATAACTAATTGTAAATGAAAGTTATTCTGTATATTCATAACGAATTTAATGGAAAGATCTATCCACTTACTTAATTCTTTACGCCTGTTACCCTCCCCCTGAATACCTCCAAGCGTTCGATACGTCGAAGCTAGTGCTTCTTTGATCTCTCTCTGATAGTCCACCATCGTAGTTTCTTCTTCTTTCAGTAGATCCTGCAACGTTTGAAACCTGTTGTTGAGAGTTGTCTTGAATTGGTTGAATTTGTTAGTATCTCGAAAGAAGCCTATATTGAACGTTTGTACTGTTGCTTCCCCAGTTGTCCAGTGTTTCTTGACATTCGCTTTCATCTTGGCCACAACCAGGTGGTGATCTGAAGCTACGTCATCTACCCTCCTGGTACTCACGTCTTCCATTGTCCTTCTAAATTCTCTATTAATACAAATATGATCTATCTGGTTCTCCCTGGTGTAATCAGGTAAGACTCAAGTAGCCTTGTGTATGCGTTTGTGTGGGAATATTGTGCCGCTTATAAACAATTAGTTGAATGCACATGGAGTTGCAAATATCTCCCCATTTTCGTTTCTCTCTCCCAGTCTACGTCGTCCCAAGATATACTCATAACCGTTATTGTCCATTCCAACTTTGGTGTTTAGGTCTCCCATCATAATTTTCAGGTCCTTTCCCGTGCACTTCACCATGATCGATTACAGCTTTTCATAAAACTGTTCTTTATCATCTTCAATGCTATCGTTGGTGGGTGCATAACATTGGATAACATTTATCGTGATTCCCTCCTTCTTTCTTCTGAATGATGCTTTGATGATCCCGGATCCATGAGATTCTCTTCCTATAAATGCTTCATGTGCTTCTTTGTACAGCATTAGAACAACTCCCTGAGTGTGTGTAGCATTTTTCTCTTCGTGACCGGAGTACATCAGCATCTCTCCTGTATCTAACCCAACTGTTCAGCTTGAGTCCAATGGGTTTCGTTTACTGATTCCGAGAACCGCCAACCTTTTCATTTCTACAGCTAGTTGAATGGTCCTCCCGGTCTCCCACATTGTTTGGACGTTCCGTGTACCTATATATGTTGTTGCTGTGATTGTTAGAAGGGGAATCGGACTCGTGAATTCCGAATAATTTCGGCTTTCATCATGCGGTGTCAAAATCCTTCCTTTAACTCCCAGGACAGAGTTTAAATGGTTGAATTTATTTAGTCTGGTTATCTTCTATTAGTAAGGTTGTTTTTTACAGGATAAGGTTGCCGACTCCATGACCAACCCTTCTCCTTTATGTGGGCCTGGAACCGGCAGTAGACCTAAAAGAGCTACAGGTGGAGTTTAAGATTTATCCAAGACGTTCTTTAATACCGGATATTTAGGGAATTAATACACGCGATACATCTAATGGGATCCTATTGTTGGCATTTCATTCACTTAATGCAGATTCAGAGAGATAAGGTAATTTTATCAGACACTTTTATATAAATTACTGCTTAGTAACTTTATGGTAAGTATCAAAAGAAGTGCTTACAATATTCTCTATATATATATATATATATATATATATATATATATATATATATATATATATATATATATATATATATATATATATATATATATATATATATATATATATATATATAGTTATATTACTACCGATAGTGAGAAAAATTTGACATTGGAGAAAATGGTTCGAAATGACGAAATAGAAAAGTTTGTGTGAAGCACCTAGGCAATAAGTTGTCACTTGATTGAAACCAAATAACTGACACTAATATTGCGAACTGATAATCGACGGATCTAAATGCAACCCAAACGGTTCTCGTACTCAAGATCCCTAGGTCCCACTGTGTGGGCTTAACCTTTAGACTACTGAAATGGAATCTAGTGGTGTATATGTTCAACTACAATCAATTCGCGCTACTGCAAAACCATCCTTCATTGTTTTCGATAGACAAGTGCCTGACATCCAATATGGTGGAACTGCACCAGTCACGGTTTTTCACTATGCTTTCAAGAATTTCTCCTCAGAATTAGTCGCTAGTGAGAACACGATTACTAGTAGTATATGGGGTTTTTGAAGACTATTTAGTGTAAACACTACATAACAGACTGGCTAGACAAATATACATGTATTGAGTACTTGAATCCTAAATTCATATCATGATGTGGTATTCGTATCAACCATTAAGTGCTTCATATGTATTTGGTCTTTTCTACCATATCTAATAACATACAATACAGTGTGTCTTTACAGCCTTCTATTTTGATGTCCATGTTGATTTATAACTACTGGAGTACATTTTGTACGCATTCAGAATCTCCTGTTTCACAGAGTAATTATTAGTGATTATTCTATAAGATTATTCAAAAAACTTGTAAAACTAATATTCGATTATCCACAAATATGGTTTTTCTTAAATTTTGTAAAACTTACAAATGATTTTCATTAAAATTTGTAATAATTACTAGTGTAATTTCACTCAATGACAAATTGTTTCAGTAATACCCTTAATATAGTTGCTTTTACACCAATATATTAACAGCACACTTTTTCGTATTATTATTAATCAAGCAATCAGATTCCTGCGTAAAAGTTCTTCAACGTGGTGAATGTGAACCTTGGTGGACCAATTGGTCATCGTGGTCTAAATGCACAACAACTTGTGGATTCCCTGAAAAACATCGTTCCCGGTTTTGTACAGGAGCATTTAATTATAATAGTTACAAATTTAAGGTAAAAGATTCAATTTTAAAATCTTGTGCATCTATCGAAAGAATACACGAAGGAGTTGAAAAAGTCTCTTGTCCTGTAAGTCGCCTATGTTCAGCTGTTAATGGTGGTTGGAGTCAATGGAGTGAATTTACTGAATGTTCTGTTACATGTGGCATAGGAAAACGTGTTCGACGTCGTCACTGTGATCATCCTAGACCACAAGAAGGTGGGTTATACTGCATAGGAACTGACCACCAAGAGGTAATTAATCATTTTTCTCAATTATGTCAATTTCATTCTAAATGAACTAACTGTTGTCAATTTTGTAAGTGATGTAGTATAAACTATATGATCAGGAGAGGCTATTGTCTACAAAATTTAATGTTGTTACTATAATTAAATATACTGACAAAATTTAATATTCTAAAATTTTGTTATAGTATTTTGCAAATCGATATCATGTTAATTTTAACCACATTGATCCACATGTAGAACAAAATACTAACTGAAGATTTTTTTGTTGAACACTGACATTAGATATAAGACAACTGAAAAGGAACACTAGGGAACGTTTTTACATTAGATTAAGACCCCACACTAGAATCCGTTCACTATCCTACACAGAATCCAACTCAGGACAAGTGTAGCTCATGTAAGGAGTCTATTAGCATTAGGCCAATGGTCAAAATCCAACGGTTCACTCTTTTAACGTCACCCATTTCACACCACCAGGGTGCTTGGTACCTGTGTGGTTGCGCCACAGGATTGAGCTGTACTATTCAGATTATAGCGCTAAAGCCTATAAGGTATCTGGTTTTCCTGTGAAGCGAGATTTAGCTGTACTGTTCGGGTTATAAAGTTTAAGCCTGAGCGGTTTCTGGATCTCCTGAGGAACAGGGTTGAGCTGTATTGTTTGGGTTGTCACGTGAAAATCTGGATAGTGTCTGTTTCTCCTGGAAACTAATGTAAAATTACCCTTGCCCACAAGCGTAACTAACTGTGAATTTCGCTTCATAGGGTAAAAGTTATCAAATGTCATTGAAATTTGTTTGTTTGTTTTATCAAAAAAATCAGTTATATGAGGAACAAAATGAATAGGATTTACTTCCATAAAACTGACTGTATACTTTCTAACCATACAGACTGTGGAAAGAATTAAATTACCTTATTTCTTTAAATTTAACTGTTATCAAATTCTATCTTTAATGATTCTCTATGTATATCTAATATTTCATTCAAGCTCTTTGCGAGTAAACTAAACTGTCCACGTTGAAGAAGTTTAAAGTGATGGATAACGTTAAACGTTCAGTGTATCCAACTTAATGTAATTTAAGTAGTGTTTATTGAATCAACTAATAATTGCTAGAGAAAATAAACAACTTAGAACAATTACTCTTTTCGATAAATTTGGATAACATAATATGAAAACGAAGAATACCAAAAATCTGAAAATCTGCGTCCTCTCGAATAAATAATTTAGATATTCTCCGAACACACAATACATATTCATAACAATCTAGTCTCCATGACGTCAATCACTTCAAGTTCACAGATTATGAAGTACTTCATATATATTTCGATCTTATTCAGCTGTGAGCTTTCTTTTTTGCTTTTCAAATGCAACGTCAACATTGCATACTACTTATTTCCATGACAGCATTACTAAAATTATCTGTGAATTAATGCAGATGGATGCAACTGACTCACCTAGTTCGAAAAGCGTAATGCTACTTAAATTAACTAAACATAGCATTACTCCTGGTATCTATAATGGTTTACATAATTTTTATTCTAGTGATAACAATCCATTATTTTTCAATATTATTTGTTTTTACTATGATATCTTACTGATATGAACCTCTCAATCCTTTACTTTAAATATCTATAGGTATATCGTGATGATTGAAAATTTTCAAAGCGTGTTTTGTATTAAGCTCATTAGTTTACGACTGTAAGAAAGGATAAGAAAATCACTTAAGTTTTACTATGCTTTACATGTATTAAATTGAGTTCTTTTGAAAAATTTTCATCAGAATTTTCCGTTTTAGTATGGAAATTTTTATAAACAGGTATTCTGTGAAGGTTATTTACAGTGCCCACGAAAAGGACAGTGGTGCTCTTGGTCACCAATCATTCAACACTGCACACGTAATTGTGGACCACGTGGGATGGGATTAAGATTGCGCCAGTGTGCTTGCCCAAAACCGTCGCAATATGGTGCGGACTGTGAAATACCACCAGAGACAGCAGAAATGGCAGTTAATCTGTCAGTTAATAACAGTACTGACGCTCCAACGGGATCTGCACTCGAAGCAATACTTAAAGGTGAAGGATTATGGGAACCATGCAACCGTCATCATTGTTCATATTTAAAAACATTAAACACTGAAGAAGATTTATTATTATTGGAGGATTTAAATCTTCAAAGAGCAGAAGATGCCTGGATATCATCAGGTGGTCTACCACAGAGAATTCATGGTCCCTTAAAACTTTTCTGTCCATCATCACGTAATTCTCGTAAGAAAATATTCGATAAATCTGAACGCTTTCCAAAATCCAAGTTTTACTGGACTCGTTCAATTCCCACTTCTTCAAAAGAACCCTATTATATTCCGGGAATACCAATAAAAAATTCAAATCTATTTATCGTTGAAAATGATCACTTGACTATTCATAGTTTAGACCCATCGACTATGGGGATTTATCGATTTGGTTACGAGTATGAACCTGGCTATTTCGAAACAATTTGCTTTTTTCCTGTTTATATTCATCAATGGCAACAAGTATGTGGTTATAATGCGTCCAATTTAAAGCTCGAAAGTAACTGAATTCAAAGTAATATATTTTTATCAGTATGAGGGACTTGTGGAGACAGTATTTTCATGGTTATAATCAGAAGTCGATCTAATCTAAACCACCACTAAAAAACTGTAGGCACTGGGCGTCTTTTACATCCTAGTATTGGACTCTTCAGCGATGCACATCCATTATCCTATACACAAGACTCAGACCCAGGGCGATTGGTTTCACACACAATCACTAGTTCGGCCTCCAACGGTGTTGAAGTCTAACTTTACCCAACAATGGATGCGCACTGCTGAAAGGCCCCGTACTAGAAACAGGAGGCCGTCCAGTACTTCCAGATTTTCAACGGTGGTCTAGCTTAGATCGACTTATAATATATTTTCACTTCAAACAATTCGTAAATGAATCGTATTTTTTAAAGTAACAATGAATTCGGAGCTTAGATTTGATTAGTAGTAACATGTTGATTGAAAAAATAACGCAATTTCATAAGATAAAGTAATCTAACAACAACTTGACTCATAATAAAGATGAACCATATGTTAAATCATTAAAAAACTTTCAAAATGTTGTTTATTAGGAAACTCGTCTATTTGATTACAATTACCCTAAGTGATTGATTAAATACGGAGTTAATTAACACTAGTCGAATATCATTAGCACAGCGAAGTAACCAAAGTATTGATAATCATTACGTTAAAAATATTTTGATCAGTTCGTACTATTTAAAAAGAGGTCTCCTATTTTTTACAACAAAATATACTACTTTATTTAAAAATAAATAGAACAACATCTTTTGTAAAATTATGTGTTTAGGTATTATCTCATGGAGAAACATTTGACTTAGTTTGTAATTCATTGGGATTATGGCCTATTATAAGTAAATCTACCACAACAAAATGGTTCGTTTATTGGAACGTAACTTTATTGGAAAAAGAAGAGCAGAATGATATAGAAAAGCATAAATTATGGTGGTATACAGAACTAAAAAATCCTCATATCAATAAACATGAAGGAAATAATTCATTTGACAATCAGACTGATAATCCAACAATTTTCGGAACACAATTCACATTATGGGATACAGAATATCAGAGACTGTATGATACTGTGAAAAAAATGACAGGATATTATGAATGTCATATATTTAATCAACTTAATTCCACATATAATCGAACATTTATCACGCAATCAATTCATCTTATAATAAAATCACCTCCAAATATATGGACTTTAGTAAGTGATAAAATTTTATTTTCATGATAAGAGATTTTTTAACACTTGAATAGTATATTTGTTTTATTAACGTCCTTACCAAGAAATATCACCATATTTACATCTAAGCGAAGAGTTCCACCTTATCCTTATAGCTTCAAAATAAAAATGTTAACCAATCTGTTACTGAACCATAGTACTTACTAGATTACTAGGTCTTAAATTTGTTATTAATCGAAAAGACTAGTATTTTTCTGTAATTGATACTTAATCGGTATTTATGCATCCATTCAAAGTTCATCTGTTGACAGAAACTCATTGTTTTAGTTCGTTTATTGTAAAAAGTTTGATTTGACTCTGAGGTAATTTTCGTCTCATGTTGACTTCACATTCTGGCGTTCATTGGGATCATACATTCTTCTATATGATTTGACCGAATAGAGTTCGTCTTCCATGATGGATATGAAAGAGGATCCTTTAATGAGTTATCATTCCAAAGAACGCTTGTATCGATGATATATTGCGTGGTATAGACATTTACTGAATGGTTCAAGCGTTTCCTGGATAAGATAAGGGCTTATGTTTACCAGAGATTAATTCAAAGTATTTCTGACTGCAGATTAAGTCGACGTTTCTCCGAGAATAGCTAACACCCATATCATTCGATACACTTAAGCACCTCTGAAATAATCCCTCTTAGTTTACTTTCTGAACTTCGCGTTATTGTAAAATCGTCCTGATATGTCGAGGCTTCAACACTCCCAGGTATGATAGAGTTCTTAGTCTGTTGATAACGAGGTACAGGTTGCCACGGACTGATCTAATGTCGTTCCCTATAGCCTATTTTCGTCAGATTCCATCAAATTAATCGATTACGGAGATGTCAACTTCTAATCTAACTGTCTCTACAGTTAGGTAGCTTCGGATGTTTACGGCTAAAAGCTATCTCACAAAGAATAAATAATTTAACTCTGAACATTAATGTTGATAAGAAAAATAACTACACATAATAATGAGAATCATTATGAACACAAAGTAACCGAGAAAAATAATATGGATTATCCTAGATATAGTTTTTACCATTATATGCTATACATTTAAAACTTTTAAACAGATGGATGATTCAATCCCCTCGGAATCTCAAGATTGAATAAAATGTTCATCAAATAAGGAAAACATAAAACTGCGGCATAGAAACCTACACTAACAAGCATCTTTATACTTCCAGCTTTTGATAACATAAACAAGATTGCTAAATAATCACAAAAATTAAATCCATATGACTCTTACAAATCTGAACCAAGGTAAAAATAAAAAAGATAATAGATGAATTTATTGTATTTCGTTAAGTTACGTTTTTAACAGGACGACGAGACTATAATTTATGAACGAACTAACCAGATTTAGGATAACAGGATTTTGGCGCGAAATTCATTCATCCGTTTGTTTAAATAGCGCTTTGGCATTTTAGCTGATGTCAGTTCGTGATGAAAACCCTAAATCTAATTTCTAACCCTGACCATCAACTGAAAATTACTATCTTCATTCCTCACATTGGCTTACAACCCCCATTTAGCCTCAGTAAGTAGGTAAACATTCTCAAGGTCACATTGCCGTAACTCAAAGGTCGTCAATAAATTATAGTATCACCGAAGCATTCATCATAAAACACTAGAGAGTGAGATAAAAACATTATGTTTTTATTTAAAGGTATAAAAATCAAAATATAATAAAAATTGTACAAATTGAAAAGTAATTACGTGAATATCAAAGGGTATTATGCAATATTTGAAACTTAGATCTTATCAGTGAGTGAATAAACCTACCCACCAAGGTTACCGTTACAAATCTGTAATTACTGTGGATCTTTTTTTAAAAAAAGCCGGCTTATTTATTAAGTACAGGATTATGCAAATCAGCTTCAAAATGTTTGTGAGTGAAAACTAGTTATATCAATTAGTTCGAATTGAAGTAGGGCGAAGTCAGGAAATTGCGACCTACTGACTGAAAGTCAAGTGTTTTTACCACTCTTCTATCCGACACCTGATGTTGACTCAGTGGCATTAATTTATGACTACATTACTATAGTATCAATATTAACAATAATAATCCAAAATTACAGAGTTAATGGAGTAAAATGTAACATATTAACTGGTAAACAACAATGTTTTTTTCATTTCTAATGGAAATACATTGGATCAAAAATTCACATACAACTGATCCTTATATTCCATAGTGATCAAACACTTCATCAAATCCTTCTTAATCATTTCATCAGTAAGACTAATACCATTATTCTAATTTAGAAAAGATTTTAAAACTCAAATGACATTATACAATATAGACAGAGAAAACACACATTTCAATAATGTTTATTATTAGTTTTCTAATATTTGTTTTCTATAAGGTGAAAGGCTGGTGTTTACAGCATCAAATAAATTTAATAATATTATTTTTGATAAGTATAATAACAAGTCTTTCATATGCAACTTATAAATGGACAATAGCAAAGAAATTATCAAAACTAGAAATTCAAATGAATGAAACAATAAAGCATAGACAAAGTACCAATTTTGATGACATTTACATTATCAACTAGTTTCGGCTACTTGGTAACAAACATGCTTTAATGCAATCGACATGAATTCAGTTTGACTGAGTTTGTATGAAAGTAACACTTCAAGAGCAATTATACTGCATAAATAACGTAACAACAGGAGAGCTAAATAAACTATTATCATGAAAGGTAATATCAAAATGTAGAAATGTGTTAATACATTAATTGCTTACATAGAAAATGTAATTTTCTTTACAAAAATATGCTTGAAAATAAAAATTATTCGGTTATGTAACATTTGTTCTTATTTTACTCATTACTTACTGAGTTGGACTATAAAATTATTAACACTACTTATAAATAGTTTGTTGAATGCTTCACTATAAATCTTCATTTTGATTTAAATAAGATTATGTATGATTCTCAAGAAGACAAGCCGTTTCAACTAATCAAAACAAATATGAAATAACTTATTTTAAACTCTTGTGTATTATGGGGATATTCAGCTGAAGTGATGAGTGTTTTTAGTTGTTTTACGCCCTTGAAAATAGAAAGTTTTTTATTGACAAGCTTTAATTGTCGTTTTTGACATTATCGAGTTTACATTGCTATATCAGATAACAATGTTATTTACTAGTGGAAATAAACTATGCTATGAAAACATGAAAAGTCATTTATTAAGAACAATGTTTCAACGACAATTACGTAAATGAAACAATGAATTTTACTACTAGTACAGGTAAACCATGAAAATGGAATAACGATATAAAAGACGGAGAAAGTTATTCTAACAAGGAACTGAATCTCTAAAAATACATAAAAAGCTCTGTTAAACTGGTAGTATGAGCTCGAAACACTACTTGCACTTTCATGAAGTAAGTAGACCATTGATTTTGAATCCCAACAGTCCACATCTCTAAGGTTAACTCTATTATTTAGCAGTAATTATCACACCATCAAAGTACGTTCTGAAACTTTTCAAGAAAACTGAATAACTGATTCATTATTAAGTAAACATCACAGTGAAAATAACCGGCAATAACTTGTACTGAGTTATTGTGGATCCGTTCAGTCATGCATAATATATTCAATACGCTTACTTATTCAAGAACGTTTAAATTTAACAACCTTCTTATCACATAGTCAAAATATAATTATTACTAGTGAAGATATAACAGAGAGTGAGTAGTAGACAAACTCTTTGATTCATAGTTTAATAGAAGTAAACTGTTTCCTGTCTGGATCTTCTAATTGGCTAATGAGTTGAAAGATCGAGGACCAATAAGTGTTAACGTATTAGGTGTTGTTCATTACTCGGTGTGTCAGTTCGTGAACTAGGTCACCTTCCCTACTGGTCACATAGGTAAACTAATGGATAATCGGAATCCTGATTGGACTATGTAACACATTATTTCGATTGGAATCTCAAGTCACAATAGATAACACAACTAAGAAACAATCACCTGATCAGACGGAATAAAAATTAGTTTGAAACGATTACGAAGTCTATTATATGACCGCTTGAAGTAGTTGCTACGATCGTAAAAGTGATGAACATACAATCACTTTAAATGATCAGCTTTAACTGTTGCATTCGCTTCATTTTAAACAGTAAGATAATACTGGCACCGCTAAAAGTGTAGTTAAAGGGGATATATATAAATCTTTGTTTCATTACTGGATTGAATTAAAAAGATTTCCATGTTATATTCAAACTGAATATGATGGGCACAAAATACTCATAAACATTGTTGACCAACTTTTACCTTCTACAATGTTTCCGTGTTTTAAAAAGTGTATAGAAAATATGTAAATTATCATCGTAAAACTAAGTTACCCTTGTTACTTACTGGAATATCTTTACTATTTTCATAATACTGTTTTAGGATGATGAGAGAGAATCACACAATGAAGACATTCTTAAAAAACCATCCCCGATACACGAACCCATGAACAAGTGGATGTATAAAACATACTATTTCAAGAGGTTTATTTCTTATCAACAGAGGTCTTCAGAATTGAACAACCAGTTAACTGTGTATTTCTAAATTTAAACATATGAAAAGTGTTTATGAACCGAAAAATTAATGTTCTATTCCAGAACACTTATTGCCACAATCGAACAACTAGACAGAACGAGTATACTAAACCCATACAGAACAAAAATATGTCGAATTAAGTTAATATATTTTAAAAAATCGGTATAAACGGGATGCCATGAAAACCGACAACAGAAATATGATTCACGAGTAGAAAGTAATAAAATATACAAAACATTACAGAATCAAACCACTTCAGATCTTATAATCAATAATTTTATTATCCCCATGATTCTCACCTAAAAAGTTCATAGCTCTCCCCTTCTCTACAAATAGTTAGTCAATTTACGAACAAATACTGATAACCGCAGAGTTTACAAACGAGACACACTGTTGAAAGTAGTTGATTACGCCCTTAGTCAAAGTCTAAGCCTTTAGATCCATGTTTCACCAAAATATATACAGATTCATGGATTTGAGCGCACGTAATTCGAATTGCTAACCAAAGCTTTCTAGACATTCTCACTCTTACTGGCAGTTGGTCAAACTTATAAGTAGTGTGCGTATCGGTAGCAGGATCGAACATGATGGGCTGTAACAAAACAATATGATTTCTCCTCACTATCTTAAATTTTTATTTGAAAACTACATCAGAAACTGAATGAGAACATAAATAGTATTATTATTATTAGATTATATACAACAAAACTCTTTACAATATTTCAATGTACAATAATTAGATTACAAAAATCTTCAAACATTTACTCCAATTGAATCACTTGGTGAAATAAGACTAGACTTATGAAGCTTTTGATTAGTAGTAGTACTAATACTAAGAGTACTACTACTAGGCGATTTACTTAACTGATTGACATTACTAACATTAGGAGTCCAATAAAGACATGTAGAATCAATACAACGATCAGTAGCAGGCGGTTTAATTGTACTCAAAAGAGCGTCTACATCAGGCTAAAAAAAATTATAAACAAAATAAGCATAAGATAAAAAATAAGACTAATTGTAACGGATTATTAACAGGATAAATGAAGTTTAATTAATAATCAGCAAATATAAATTTGGAATGTATGAATTTGTATTACAGTTTAATGATTAAAACAATTAACTTTTAGCTATTAAATCTCAGGTGCAAACTCCGCTCAAACTATTTCCATTCAGGCATTCGAGTAGTGTCATTAGTTTTTTTAATACTTAAGTGGCTGGTGGATGAGTTATTTAATGCACTTTCTTCCCATTTATGAGAACCACTAGAAATCATGTTATAGCACAAGCGAAATTGTTTTATTCTATTCAGTGACTCCATGACAATTTTTTAAGTACGAACCCAAATAGAATAGGACCTACAATCTTTAGTTCTGTTAGACAGTATGTAACTATTCACATGCTAAGTTGGAAATCCAGAAATAGTGTTTATTTTTATTTTGAATAGGAATGCTTATGGTGCAATCACATGTTACCTGTAAAATATTATCAGAGATGATGCCAACAGTCAAGAGAATAAGGAGGTTCTAATGTTAAAAATCCTCATTCCCTATTGTAAAAACTGGATAGGAATGAAAACTACTCACAATAAATAAAAAATCTATAGACCACACAATCCACATTTTACAAGAATAATGAATTCGCGTGGAATTTTTATCTATGGATGTTGAAATCTAAGAACTACCTCTTGAAAGATATCATAAACCCGATAACCAGGGAAACCTAAGATAAAACTAGATGAAAATAGGAGATGGTTGATGAGAGTATCTTGTCATAGTTATCTGACAGATATAAGTAGTATGTAGCATTAATCGGAAGTGCAATAGATGTCAGCAGAAGATTGGATTGAGGAGAACAGGAAAGGAAACGAAGAGCAATTGTAGTAACAATAGAATTGAAATAATCACAGAGTATATAAAGGACAACCGAAGGAAGATGTGCAAATAATATATTTAATGTATGGTTTCTACATTTTAAGGCATTGTGTAATTTGACATAAGACAATAGATTGATTATCAGAAGGGGTTTTATGGAGATTTTAGTAATTTCAATAGTTGAGATCATGAGTCAATTGAAGCTAGACCACCATGGAAAACCTGGAAGCACTGGAAAGCCGTTTCGTCCTATTGTGGGACTCCTTAGCAGCGCGCATCCACGAGCCCGCCTCGCGGGATGAAACGGCCGCTCAGTGCTTCCAGGTTTTCCATGGTGGTCTGGTTTCAATTGACTCATGATCTCAACTATTGAGATTGGTTATCCCCAACTTTTTTATCGTTCACTATATTATCACTTTACCTCTACAATGGCAGAAAAGGATTAATTTTAGTTACCGTTTTAAACCATCTAAGTATTCGTATTGCTGACTTTACGTGATATAGAATAAAAGTTATTCATTTTTAAATTTCGCACAAAAACCAAGAAGTTATTCTCTCGATTCTGATTAGCTTGTTGTCTCTATATCCATGTAGTGATAAATTAGATAGAAATATTAGGTATAAGTACAATTCTGTTTTTATTTCAAGAAATAAATGAAAGATACTAACTACTACCGAGTCTAGATTACCTGATTGAGGTCTGCGCGATTATCGTGACCAGTGGTTAAACAATCCGAATGATATTGTTGAAAATCGCTCGCAATGACGCAGATGAACTCGCTTTTTCCCCTCTCTTAGATCTCAAGTTTTTAAATTGCTTGTAATTTTCGTTAATCTTAAAAATCTATATCCTCTCGAACGGTATCCTCGATATTTAATCATTTTCGTTACTATCAATACTGTTAACACTTTTAATACTCTGCACTGACAATTTTATCTCTCTTTACTAATAAGGTATGGCAAGTTAAACCGATATACACATGCGCCAGATTCTATGTTGCGTTTGACTGACCAGCTGACTGCTACTATTACTAGCTTTTCATCATTAAAAAATACAATATTCCAAAAACAAAAACAGTGAAAAATTCACTTACTTTATTATTGATTATGTAATATTGTGTCCGATAGCAAACAAGCATCTTCATATCTAATAAAGTGCTTACAATATCAGGAACTGCTATTCCTAATTCTTGACTCATAGCTAAAAAAGTTGGGTTCATCGTCATAATAATAATAATAATAATAATAATAATAATAATAATAATAATAATAATAATAATAATAATAATAATAACAATAGTTATAGTAATAATAATAATTTATCTGAATAAAAGCTCTTCAACAAAAACAAATTATAGGTTAGTTGAAAGGATTTCGTGAAAATTGGTGTAGTTTATAAGTTTTATTCACCACAGACTAATCTCATAGACGCGAAGTTTCTAAGGTTTGATCCCTAGAAAGGTTGTTAGTGCGCAATGCTCAGTCTCATACCAAGGTGAAAAAGTTGTTTAATGCACCCTAGTTTCAAATGTTACCCTTACTGAGATCAATCTGTGATTAATACAACTTACGAAGTATGATTTATTTCAAATTAAAAACGTACTATTTATATGATATTTTTACTTAGCCGAATATAATCTGTCAGTGGGGAATTTCCAATGATCAATAAGTGTAACAATAAGTCTACTTCGATTGTCAGTTAATGAAAACACTGTGAAATAATATTGTGTTGTATTTCTTGGTCTAAAAGATAAAAGACTAATGTACGATTCCATTTCTGCTACATTTCCACGAACCTGGTCTGTTCTACTTATATTTCTAGCATTTACGTTTGCTTGCTCATGGCTTTTTAAGTATATTTTTATTTATCCAGTTATACTACATTCTAAATCAATCATTTTTTTAGAAGAATGAACACTTGTTTCCACTTGAAGTTACCGCATATATCTCCATGTTAATCGATAGTCAGATTAATGCAACTGTGGATTTCTTTAAAAAGGAATTTCAGGACATTATATAAAGTTAGACTAGCTTTGTTAAAATCGAAAATAAGCAAACACAAATCAATGCAGAATTTCGCACAAAACTACCGCCGTCTGAATTTCAACTAAAACTTTTAATAACCCAACGAACTAAGCCATCAAATCATGGAAAAAGGAAATATCAATAACAATAATGATGAGCAGGTCCTCACATTTATAATTACGTTTCATTGTTGAAAATAAAAGAGTAAAAGGTCACATATATAATTAATTTGCATACTCTTCATCAAACAGTTACAAAATTTTGGTGACATTATGACGCGGCTATCGTGTCGATTGGACTGGGATCTCAAACTAACGCTGAGTGATATTGCAAATAAATATCGAAGGCTAATTTAATCTTCAGCGCGATAATAATATGGTTCAGTGTAGAGATTACGACCGCTCCGAAGTTCACATAGTCCAGCAACCATCCAACAGTGCCTAACCCGAGCCTGTTATACCTAACTCATCTTACCCAAGCCCAGTTCATTAAACGAAGACAAGTCCTCCGGCTACCTCCTGGCACTGTGTTGTGTGACATTCGGTAAGAACCTGTCCGTTCAAGCAACATTGTTGCATGAAATATAAATCCAACGGACACAAAGATGGATTCTGTCAAAGTTGGAAATCAAACCAACTATCACATCAGTCCATAAACATTAGAAAGCCTGCTTCCAAAACCTGCAATAATTCGTTGGGCCTACTAGAATTCTATCAGAGCACAACTCCAGGTAAAAAAAACTTATTATCTTTAATAATAATGGGCATTTATTTAGATCCCAAATAGATAAAGCTTCAGACATTACCATTATTTTCCGTAAATTTGGGATCAAAATGGGCAGCCTGTGCATTCAGCTAACAAGATAAAAGGCTCGTACAGCATGTGATAGTTATCTGCGTTTGTTCGGACAACTAGATTGTGACGTGTCTTCCCGAGAATCGGTGTTCACCAGGGTATATTGCGTAACGCCAGTTACTTTAAATCTACTTAGTTTAGATTGGTTTGACCAGTCTCAACTAGCTAAGGTCCCATTAAGTACCGTATGACATCTGGTGAGACAACCTCCGGAACCGGAAGCACATACAACGAAGTTGGAGATGCCGGACCCCCAGAAATCACTTGATAAACATACTATTTTTGTAATTTAATTGTAGAAATTTGAATCTATCGTTTTCGCGTCAAAAGCTCTCATTACTACCTTTAATTTGTGTTACCCACCTGGAAGGACTTTAATTTTTATTGGTTCTCCTTCTTTTTCGGTACTCTATTTAGTGACGCTCTTCAAGGACATTTTTACATTGTATACATCATATAAGATATGGGTGTTTGTTATTCGTTCTTCTGGGCTGGTTGTAGAATTATATATTTTTCCTGCTGACTCTGATCTTCATCTAGCTAACAGAGCTGGGATACAGAAGAATAACTTAGTTTCGTCCCATTATTACGTTCCTGGTTTACGTTCTGTTCCCCGGTACCTTTGTAATACCATAATATTTCGTCTCTGATATGTTAGACTAAAATTTGATCAGTCTTTGTTGGCATATGTATATTTTATGATGATTGGCCCTATATAGCCACAAGTTTATAAAAAATAAATGGAACGTAGTCAGCAGGAGAGTTCAGGACGCGCGTTTTGGTATATTTGGGACTCCTCAGTTAGATGTGGTTGTGTCTTAAAGTTGTTGCTTACTCAGGGACTAATCAAATTTCAGTCAATATATCAACAGCGGGGTCATCCAAATAATTACAAATTAAGTTAAAATTCATACCCATGCATAAATGAGACTATCTGGACTTAATAAGTAGGCAAATAACGCGTTGAAGTTTCAAGCAAAAGGTACTGTGTTCGAGTCTCACAATGAACATTGACCCTGGGATACAGGTACGTCTGGCTAACGAGTCCTAAATAGGACCAGCCTAGAGGTCCTGAATTACACTACATGCCATATTTCATGTATTATGCAAAGTTATCTTATAGAATGTTTGGAAGTTGAAAGTAGTAGACAGGAAACTCTGAATCCTATTTTAGTGTTAAGACTGATACAAAACATTGCATATTCCTAAATATAACCCTTTTTTGACGCATTGTATATCTGTTTTACGCCATCAGGTTAGTTATGAGTCCATATATATTAAGAAGTACGTGTAAGCACTACTCGTTTGATTTTCTAATATTCTAATTCAAAATTAAGAGACTTGATAGTTTACGTCGGCCACCAGATATAATGGATTTGTTGTTAGTGACGTAAAGAATAACATAACAAGTATAGTACTATCAAACTCCATACAATTATTATTTATTTATTTATTTCAACACATAGATAATGGTACAAGGAGGCACCAAATACATATGCGCCACACAAATCTCATTCGATATGTGTGTGAGGGCTGTGATACTGCCCGGGTGCCCAAACCGAAGCAGGTGGTTCTCTTTTAGTTGCCACACCCCGAGCCTTCGACCTGAAGGTCTGATCCACAAGGCAGTGGAGCATCGTAAGGAGATGCAGTCCCATGGGAGCCGGTGACCAACAATTGGTTCATTCGCCATTTGTTCCCGCAGGATACTGGAGCCCATGTGCATCATTGGTTTGGAATCCGGTTAAAGCGCCGGACATTCGCTTTTCGTCCTCTCATTTTCGTAAACAACACCCCCGCCACGAGAAGGCGGTGAGTAGGACTTCCCTGGCAGAGGCTATATACGCGTGGCCATGTGAGAGCATTTCGAGAGGGAGAGCGGACTCTCCCCACTCTCGGCCGTACCAGGGCATTTGGGGGCCCATACAATTATCTAACCGTTAGGCTTGCAATTTTTAAAGACTATATCCAACCCATACGTAGAACGACATATGAGATTTTCAAACAATAAGACCAACTTTTCAATTAGTTAAACGGTGACATGTTAATCGACTACTTTATTCAAAATAGATTTAAAAACCTTATTTGTAATGCAGTACCAAAACTGTCAATGTAATTTCCGCTTTAAAATTATTTTAATCGACAGAATTACTTCTGAGGTCATCTTAGATACATCTGATTGTTGCTTTGATCTCGAAATGAAACGTTGAAAGTCTAATATATATTTTTGGAAAAAAATCGTAAATTATAGTCACTTACTTCGAATATTAATTGACTTAGCTGTGAATGACGATAAGTATTTTAAAATTTCAAAACGCCAATATCTTCTGTAAATAATGATGCCCAAATCTGATAATGGACGTTCTGGTGTACCAATACGTTGTTCTAGTCGACTTAAAATATAACCTTTGAAATAATAAATAATTATTTCTTAGAAAAAAATTAATTGTACTTTTTAACTAGCATTAGGAATAATATGACGAGTAGATGAAAATCAAAGACAAATGCTTCAACATAAATTTTATCATTATTACTCGAGTAAAAAATTAACATAAACTATTGCAAGATTATTCTTTAGAAGATAGTGGTTACAGAATACCCGACTGGAGCCACTACCGTGACATGGTGATCAGATTAACTTACCTTGATGAACCGATGGAGCAATATTGGTTAGGGCACTTATTTCTTTTAGGTCCCTACTATGCCACACAAGTCGGTTAGAAAATGGTGAGACTAAAAGCAGCACCTCAAAGTCTGAAGGAAACGTCATACAAGTGCATGACAACAATGAAGGGTTCCCTTCACACAACCTGCATCTTCAGCGATGCTGAAAAAAGAATGGGACTTCCATTGCCGGCTGTAATGTGTTATCTATAAAATAAGAAGCCGGTTATGACCGACCTTGAAATCGGCGGTTACGCCTCCAGTTGTTCAAGACCAATAGAAGTTTGACTAGAATATAACAAAATTCACATTTCAAGAGAATATAATCAAAATATAAAACCTTTATTAATGTTATAAAGTAGTTCGGTTAACATTTTCGATAAATACTTAATGAATACATACTCATTTCGATAAGCATACGACCAAAACCACGACATTGATAAGGCGGTAAAATGAGAATACATGAAAGATTATTGTACACCGTATTGACGGAGTTGTCACATTGATCATCAGCTTTTTGCTAAATAAGAAGCAAAATAAAATGTATGACGATAGTTATTAATCACAATCCAAACACAAAGACGAAAAATTACCAGAAAGCTTCAAAACAACAACGGATAAGGAAGTTAGAAAAATGTTCTAATACTGAATTTATTAAGAAGATTCTTCTAATAATCTCTTCACATTAATTCAATGGTAGTAAATTTATCTGAATGACCAACTTAAATGCTTTTACTTGAAAGTCTTAAATTTAATATTGAATAAACCTTAATTACTGACGTTCGAAACAATTCCCTTTAGTGAATCCACTTCCGTTGGTTACGCCGAAATTCCTACATTTTTTAACTTAAAAGATGAACGATATGCCTCAAAAATATTAGATAATGCAAAGATAGGTGTCATTAAATGAGCCAAAGAAGTAAATACACTACATTCAATAAGAATACATCAGATTGTGATTCAAACATCTCTATGACGATTTCTACGAGAAAACTAAAGAGAAGACTACTGATAAATCTTCTGACTGAACAATTGAACCAGTTTCTTAAGCTCTTTTAATAACCAAAGGCTAGCCACCATTCGTCTCTGCTTAAGAAGCTTGTGATTTAAGACAATATTGAGACAATCCAAACAGGATGAATATATGCCAATGAGAGACTGATCAATTTCAGTCCTAAACACAAATGGGAAAATCCAAGCAACCAATACAAAAATGAATTAAAACTTCACCCCATTGCACAAGCTAGTGGCTATCTGAACTTAGTAGCTAAGTGGATAACGTGATGGCGTTTTAAGCGAATGGCAATGGGTTCGAGTCCCGAAGTAGACATCAACGCTGGAATGCAGGTACATCCAGATGACGAGCCCCAAATAAGACGAAACGCACAATCCGAATTCCACTGCTAGCCAGCATTCATCCCTGCTTATATGCCTACGTACAACTGGATATATTATCCTAAAACTACCATCCAGAGTGAATGAATCTTAAGAATAACTAGAAATTTCCTTGAAATACCAAACTGAGTCAGAACTATAAACTTTTTGAGTTCTTTTTGTTTGTTTGATCAGCTTTAGAAGATTTATTAGAGGGTTATCAAGAGGGGAAGAAAAATGTATACTTCTACCATATAAATCCTTTGCCTAAATAAATCTAGTTTCCCAAAATGTATAACAGAATTACTGCTCAACACTTTGAAAATCGTAAAGTGACTAAATGATAAGAAAAAAAAAATATATATATATATATAAGACTTCGATACACGAAATAAGCGTTGAGAATGTCGGCCAGAATGACAATGAATGTTACAACAAGTGGATGATCTAGTTCAGAGAAGATTAACACCATTAAAAACTTAGAAAACTGTGAATAAAACAAGAGTATATTTTACTTACTTTTGAGAAATAACCAATAATATGTGAACCATCTTGATCTGTTTCAGTTAATACGTAGAATAAAAATGCAGGAACTTGATCTAACTCATGAACTGTTTTTTGTTTCAAAAATAATTTAGCTAATAAACACAAATTTCGACAGTATTCCTGTAAAAAAAAAAATTAACAAAATATTTATTAATGTAAAGATTTATCGCTAACCTACTGAATATATAAGACAATCTTCTTTTTTAAAACGTACTAATCACCAAGAAATATTAGTAGATCAACAGACAGATAGAATGACAAGTTAATTTAAGGTACACATCATATAATAATATTTTTCATGGCCTAATTGAAACAATGATATAATCAAGCTATTTATATGATTAAAAAGAATGCCACTCGTTGTTAACTAACAATGTTTACCATTTAAACTAACGACTTACAACCAACTCTTATTTGTTTCTAAACATCAATACACGATACTAATTAGTCAGTCAGTAACAACGTAGAACTTCGTACGTACGTACATCAGTTCGAGTTGCTACACCACCTTAACACAGAGATGCAGTTGTCGATCCAAATCCCGTAGTGGTAGAGGTAGCAAGAGTGTAAGCAGTGATCGGGAAGATTAGGGTTTGGAGATGTTTTTTAAAGAGTATAATTCAGTGAAATAAATTTGGAAAGAGGAAAAAAGGGACATGAAGAATTCAGAAGATTGTAATTTAGGAGAACACAAAGAGTGGATGCACCTGTGCTATTGCAAACGATTTTGAGCCATGTCATTCAAGGTCTCTAACCATCGGTTGCTATCATCTCGCGATCCCCAACCAGGTAGTCTACACCTACCAACATGACTCAGACCACTTGTCAGTGACTTCATGGATTTGTGCCATGTTTTGGTCTGGCCGCCCCTAGCTTTCTTCCAACCTACTCCTATACCACTGAACATCGCACGTCGAGGCAGTCGGTCGTTGGGCATACGTAACACGTGTCCCAGCCATCTCAACTGATGAAGTTTCACTACTTCATCAATTGATTTGCCATCCTTATTTAGTACCCGTTTCCTAACAACTGCATTACTTACTCGATGGTCCCATGATATACGAGCAATGTTTCGAAGACACCTATGGTCGAATACTAGTAACCTACGAATATCCTCTACTCTTACCGGCCATGTTTCACTGTCATAAAGTAGGACGGAACGAATTGCTGCGCAGTAAACACGTCCTTTGGTTGATAGACGGATATCTCGCCTACGCCATAAATGACGCAAGTTGACAAAAGCTAGTCGAGCCTTCTGTATCCGCGCTGAGATTTCGTCACACACCAGACCACAAGGGCTGATGAGACTTCCAAGATAAGTGAAGCGGTCGACACACTCAACTACTTCACTCCCTATCACTAGTTCGGGTGTCGATGTAACCCAATCCTGAAGCAACATTTTGCATTTGGAGGGAGAGAATCGCATCCCGAACATGCTTGCATTGTTGCTTAGAGTGGTCAGAAGACTCTGCATTTTGTCAGCTTCTTCACCAAATAAAACTATGTCATCAGCATATTCTAAGTCAACAAGTGAACCTCCCGGTAGAAGTTCAACCCCTGGAAATTTAGATGAGGAGAGTGTTATCTCTAAAAGTACGTCGACCACAAAGTTGAACAAGAAAGGAGAGAGTGGACAGCCCTGACGAACACCACTTGATGTAATCAATTCTGATGACAGTTCGCCATAAGCTCTCACTCTACCAGTTGTGTTCGAGTAGAGAGCCTGAATAAGGTTAATGTACTTCTTTGGTACTCCTTTCAGTGACAAACACTGCCATAGAACCTTACGATCAACAGAGTCGAATGCCGCCTTAAGGTCGAGAACTACTACCATTGTGGGGCGTCTAAACGTGTGTCTGTGTTCTAGAACCTGACGTAGTGTGAATATCTGATCTATACAACCACGTCCAGGTCGAAAACCGGCCTGATTTTCTCTAGTCTGTTCTTCACGAGCTTTGGTTAGGCGTCGAAGTATTATTGAGGCTAATATTTTAGACACTATATTAGTCAAACTGATTCCTCTGTGATTGTCACAAGAGGACTTTTGTCCTTTCTTATAGACTGGCACAATCAGTGATTGAGACCAGTCAGATGGGATTAAATCCAGTTCCCAAATTCTACCTAAGACCTCGGTTAATCTCACTGCTAATACTGGACCACCATCCTTAAAAATCTCAGGAGTAAACCTGTCAGGGCCTGCTGCTCTCCCTCGTTTCAGATTTCCTATGGCTTTTTCAACTTCGCAAAGGGACGGAGGACCTACATTAACTTGCCATTCAGGTTGACTGGGGATCGTGGGAAACCGAAGTGTGGCTGAAGGCCAGTTGAACTGACCCCTGAAGTGTTCTGCCCATCGATCCAATCTCCTGGATTGAGAATGAATAATATGTCCATCTTTCTCTGAGATTGTTTCGCTAACGGTCGGGTTCCTAATTCCGGTTTCCTTAACGAGTCTGAACAATTGTCTGCTATTACCTATCGCCGCTGCCTTCTCCATCTCTCTTGCTTTCGCTACCCACCATTGTTCGCGATCATTGCGTAGACTTCTTGTCAGCTTGAGCTTAAGCTGACTACGCTCTTCACTATGTTCAGAGCCAGGTGGAATGAATTTCCGAGCATCTATCAGTGAGATAGATGCTGCTGAAATCCAGTGTTGCTCTCTAACCTTCTGGTTTACCTTACTAGCAGATATCACTGCTGTTTCCACAGCTTTTCGGATATCATTCTATGCTGCCTCATGGTGGGCATCACATACATGGCTGCCTAACTGTTTTCATAGTTGTTCCTGAAATATACTCTTAGCTTGACTATCATTAAGTAGGCCCCTAAGAGGTTTCCTTGCAGCGTCTTTCCTACGTCCAGTAAGACGCAAGCAAATACGCGCTCGCACTAGAGCATCATCTGAATCTAAGCATGTGCTCTAGAATGAGCGACAGTCTTCTATCGAGCCCCTCCATCGGTGGCTGATAGCGATGTGATCTATTTGGGTCCAACGTTGGGACGAATTAGGGGGCCGCCATGTTAAAAGATGTTTTTCTTTATGCTTAAAGTTAGTATTTGCAAGGAACAGGCGATTATTTGAGCATAGTTGCAACAGACGGTCGCCATTATCTGATCTTTGAGTCACGACACCATAAGATCCACCCAGGTGTCTTTCCCTATCGCTTAGTTTACCTACTTGAGCATTAAAGTCACCGGCCACTATTACTACATCATAGCGCCTAGCTTTTCGGAGAAGGTCGGAAAGCTTTCGGTAAAACTCATCTTTTACATCATCTGAGCTGCAGTCAGTGGGAGAATAGGCAGAAACGACGAAGAGGCAACAATGAGTGTCCCTATCTTTCCGGATTCTTACTGTTCCGTTCAGCCGGACAGCGCACAAACGACTGTCTACTGGGATCCACTCTAAGAGAGCTAGTTCTGCTCTGGGACTCAATGCTATACCTACGCCGGCGAGGCCACGGGAAGCAGAATCAGGGCTTCCAGATACACGAAGCGTAAATCGAGTCGATTCTTTATTTTGGCATGGTGAAGTCAAATAAATGACGCTACTCAGATCTTGTATGTGCGTTTCGGAGACGCAGCACACATCGATGGCGCGAGATTCTAAAGTCCTAGCTAAGGAAGCCTGCTGTCCTATTTGGCACAGTGTTCGGACGTTAAAAGCTCCTACGTGTAGTTTAGAGTGTGGTTTCAGGAGACCAAGAATAGAGTTCCACGTACTCGAATCGTTTGCCCTAGCGGTGCGAGGTGATAAAGAGACGTGAGGAGGGTTAATCATGGAGATAAGAGAGGTATTAGGAGGTGTAGGAAGGATTTGAATGTGACCAACTTGGTCTCGCGTGCTGTTACGGGTATGAGGGCTGATGTCACTTCCCGGCTGCCCACACCGTGGAAGGGTATTTCTTGAGGAACCTGAAAAGTAAATTGGATTAGTGTTGGTCTTGACGACCTGGGAGCGTGACCGCAGAGCCCAAGGGACAACTGCTTGAGGCCGGTCGCGCACGGCCTTTTTGTGGAAGGTTTTTGACGTGTTAGCTCCGTTCTTCAAAGGGCCTTACCGCCGGAGACGGAAATCCGTGAGGTAAGGTGAGGTGTGACATTTTTAGGGTCGACTTTTTCTAACCCCACCCCTCCTTGTGGGAAGGCAGCATCGCTGTCATGCTGGTTATCTGAGGGAAACACCTTACTGCTGTCACACCTCTCTACAGTCAGCAGTACGACTTCGCCCTCAGACCTTGAGTTGCTGCTTTTAGTCTTACCGTTCACCAATCGACCTGCCTGGCATGGTAGAACCTACAGGAACATATGTTCCAGCCAATATAGCTCGGTTGGGTCATCACGATAGGCAAGCCTGACCACCGCGTCAAGGTAGCAGCTTCGGTCGGGTGATACTAATTACCGATATAACAGACCAATAAAACTAACTACAATGTGAAAATTACGTAAAATATTCTCTAAGCGAACAAAGTTACAAAAATTTCATTTGCAAAAAATTCGAAATTGGCCTACCACGTGACGATATTATCAAGCTGAAAAATTTTAGTATCAATACTTCAAGAACAAACTTATATGTGTTATTTATTTAATATATTTGAAATTATGATATATAAATAGATCAATGAACAACAATTGTGTTTTTATTTTATTTTTTTGTATGATTTATTGGTAACTAAGTAGTAGTGACCAATATCACGTTTTTTTCTAGTCCCATAGTGTTGACCAAATTGTATCGATCAAGTGGCAATGTCGCCAACAGTTTGAGTCAGTCAATATCATTTGTACTACGTTCATATGCTAAGTGTTTGGAAGTAGTTATGTAGTTTGAACAGTATTTAAGGACTAGATAGTAATGACATTGGTCGCTAATCAAATACGCAATCAACTATAAATATCTCATCCCTACAGGATATCAGCCATAGCCCGAATAAATTCGTAGTAATATCTCAATCTGTGAAGCCAGATTCGAATCCTATGAAGAGTATCTCCCTCCCAAAACTGCAAGTAAGCCTTGCTGACGAATACCCCACAAAACAAAACTTACGTCTAGGGTTTTCTACGGACCACCACCAACCAACACTTAATACTCTTTTTTGAGTAACAAACTTCTCAACAAATGACCTATCTGTCTACCATCAGATTAAGAAAAAACCTTTTCTGTCCCATTATCGATGTTAGTCAGAGTTTCTTAACAAAAACATCACGTGTGAAAAAAAGCGGATAAATGCATGACTATTTGACTTTGAAAATAACGAATTTATAAGCTCAAAAAACTAATTCCCAGATATTAATCTATGATTTCAGGATTTTTATCATTTATATTCTCATCCTTTCTACACAGCAAAAAGTTTATACTGGTCAAACAAAACAACAGGAACTATATTGAAGGAATTTACAAAAGTCACAATTCAGTAACTAAAGATGTTTCAATGAGAAAGTTTCGTTAATCATTCAAAATCCGTATTTTACACAACCGCTAGATGTTACATACATACACAATTACGCTGAGCATATTAAAAAGATCTTCAAATAATGATGGAAATACTATTAAAAGATTTTACTTTCCTACAAACAATCTATAAAAAAGGATCAGAAAGATTACGATAAATTAACAGAAAATCTATTACTTTTGTAATCCTAATATACACGTAATTATCAATAAAACCTATGATAATTTAAACAAGAAAAAGTTTTTTAAGTAGACTTACCTGATGCTTTTGTCCATCAATTTCAAAAAATGATAAATTCTCTTTACGATATATTTCATTACCTGGAGGAAACGTCCGACCACAATTAATCTGTAATGATTATCATGATACATTAATAACACTTTACCAACAAAATAAAAACAATTATTCAAATATGAAATCACTAAAAAAACGACAAACAGTAGGGATATATGAGGAAAGGGGTACAAGAGTGGGTAGGTCAGTCAATAATAAACGACATATGACTATATAAATGCGCATCGATCCAAGTTGCAAAATCAAACCATATTAATATGGCAAAGTAGAAGTATTGAGATAAATCCAAGAGTACTATAAGCAGTAACGGTATCAGTGGTCGTAGAACAGATTAAATATAGACAAGATGAATTAAGAATGAATTTGTGGAATAGAATTACTAAAGTGGTTTTTGTAAAGTCTTTTACTATTTGAATGTAATTTTCATTACATAGTGATATCAGATGAAGACCTATTGAAAACCGGATTATCAGTTTAAACAGCTGTTTTAAATGTAATTCGAGATTTCTTAGTATGCACACTCGTAACGTCATATCGAAGACATTATTAATACATCCATCCATATCAATGGGAAAAAACAAAAGGCCATATAATTTAATATTTTAGAATATTAGCAATCCTTAATATGTTTGAAATAGCCATGACCTGAAACATGACTTACATGTATAGTGAAAAGGGGTAATTGTTTTGACATAATTAGAATTTTTTCATAAATTTAAGACTGAAACGTTTGAATATTCGAGCATTTTGATAAATAACACATTATTCTATTCAATAAACAATAGAACAGATCTCATAAAAACTACGAGGTATAAAGTATGGCAGTATAATACTTCTCTGCTGGTGGTAATATGCTTGTTTCATCTCCGTCTCCATAGTTTAAGATATCGATGATACACACATCAGACTCTTTAGTCACTTCATTTTGGTTCACTACGATCGTATGGACAAACGATACACCAAAATTTGGTTGATTGTCGACCAACTAGACAGTTAACTTTCTGATTGGAAAACATAAAAGACTGTACAAGTTCGAAGCTCGGGTTGACAGTTATCACGCTGAAACATTTCGTCGACGTGAATAAGCTATTTCCTTCAATGCGCTATCTCAGTAAAAGCCCTTCAATATCTCATGAATTGCTGAGAGTTCCCCTCAAGTTTCATCCAAAACTTTGGTACCTCAGTTTGCGAAATTATTGAACAGGGTATGAATGGAATGCTAGTCATAAGTGAATAGAGAGTGTTTAATTTTCCTCCAATTTAAACTACACAGATAAAATACTTGCAAGATATTCAAAAGCTATGTGAATACGGTTACTCATAAAGTTAATGGTCCGCTACATAGAACAATGGTAGTTAACGAAAATAATTATTGACAAAATCTCAATAAAACATATTTCCATGTAAAAAAGGGACAGATGTATGATGTGTACACTTGGGCAATGAATATTATTTAGAAGTAAAAGAAAGAGGTTTACACAGATCAATTGACATAGTAACCTAATTTATTCACATAACCAATGGCAAATACAAGAAAACTCTAAAACGATTAGAACCAGAGCCCATCGATCCAATTATGGATCACTAGAATCCAACTCAGTGGATAAACTTTATCATGTTTTATGTGAAGCTTTAAGGTTCCATATACATTCTCACCGCAGTAGACAGATTCACAAGATGGGCCATAGCCTGCCCTTTAAAAGACACTTCGGCAGAAACAGTCGCTTCAGTCTTCCTCGATCGCTGGATATCTAACTATGGAGTGCCAGCAACAATCACAACAGATCGTGGTCCCCAATTTCAATCTGTCCTTTTTCAGGAGTTCACTAAACTTCTAGGGGTCAACCACATTAAAACCACAGCTTACCACCAAGCAGCTAATCGTTTGGTCGAAAGATTTCACCGCCAATTAAAAAGCTCGCTGATGGCACAAGATGATTCAACCAAATGGAGTGACGCATTACCACTCGTACTTCTGGGAATACGTTCAACCATAAAGGAAGATATAGGTTGTACAGCAGCCGAGTTAGTTTATGGTACAACCCTTACATTACCAGGTCAACTAGTAGACCTAAACACTTTAACACCAACGGATCCAAGTCATTTTGTTAGCCAACTGCTGCAAACCATGAAACGAGTCAAAGCTATACCGCCTCGTGAACATAACAATCGAATACAACTCGACAAAAACCTAGAAACATGCAAGTTTGTCTTCGTTCGAGTTGATGCGGTTAAAAAGCCATTGAAACAACCTTATGAGGGACCATATCAAGTAATTAAAAGAACGAACAAACACTTCATAATCAACAAGTGTGGAAAGAAAGAGACTATCGCTATCGATAGAATAAAGCCTGCTTTCTACGAAACACAGCACGACAAAGAACATACTAATTCACTGAATCAACCCCGTCCAACAACCATCACTACAGCAGACATGGAAGAAAAATCGAGTAACAAACCTACTTGTTTAACGCGTTCAGGCAGAGCTGTAAAAAAACCCAAACGCTATGTACATTTCGCCGAATAAAAAAGAAATAGAAACAAGCAATTATCGATGTACTATACTATTAAATTCACCCGATTTTTTTTCCAACAAAATTTATAAATTTTTTTTACAGTGTACATAACTAATCACATTTTTCCACAATTACTCGTTTTGTCAGTTTTTTTAAAAAAATCTTTTTTTGTCACAATAATAAACTAGTGAACTCTGTTTAGTTATTCATTTATCGTACACAAACATAAACAGTTCAATTTTTTTGGGTCTCTAGCAGTTTTGCACATTATTATTATCATTGTTAGCCAACCAAGGCGTTAAATGACAGTGTCTTCATTTTTTTGTGTGTGTGTGCCTATTATGCTATGCTACATCTCTACTACATGTCATACTCATCTCCACATGTTTTTGGTTATAACTGTAAATATTATTTTTGTATACATGTATATATCATACCCTTACATTTTTTCTATTATAACCAGTGTTACCTCCGGACACTCTGGGGGGAGCTATGTGGAGATGGACCCGACAAGCTTATTTTGTAAATAGTTTTCAATGTTATTTACTTTGTCAACCTTACACTGTATGTATATTTAACATTAAATGACTGTAACTGTTGTTTTAGTAAATGACCTTGAACACACTTTCCGTTGTACTACTACATTGCGTGGCATATCGCTGCGGGCTAACAAATACAATGCTTCTCGCACACTCCTCGTTCTATTTCCATTTGTGATCGAGCTATCCGAAGTCTAAATCAAATTCTATCTCCATTTATAGACTGTAACCGAAATATATTACATCCAACGTGGATTATATCATTAGAGAGTTCACCAACCTGTTCAGAATCAACAAACATTTATAATTGTGGATTTACTTCACTGGACCTAATCATAACACGCAACATCTGATCAATTTAAGTAACGTCCCCAATTTTTATTGTATTTGTGACAATTAATTATATGTATTAATATTACTATTGATTTTTAATAACTTTGTTTATATTTTTTGTGTTCATATCTGTTTGGTCCACCACAGACCACACAATGATCTGAATTCATTCCGTTGTTCTGATCCGAGCGAGTGGCAAAACCGTCAACAGCATCAAGCACCCCGGAATTAATTGCCATACTGCATGTTTTATTCTGGATACTTTTGGATCATTACTACTCCTCACGAATGGTGTTATATATGTCGTTCATTGAATAATCTAATTTTCAAAAATAACCCAGGCGAGTTCAACTATTTCACTTAATGATTTTTTGTACTTAACATGTATATATTTTCCAGTTGCTTTTGCCATATATTTGTAAGTGTCCCTAGGCTAAATGCATTATCTTCTTACGGAATGTTTATAACGCGTCATATTCCTGCCTGAAGTTTCACAAGCAGTCTAAACTTTAAAATTATTTTCTGGTCATGTTCATTATTTTTAAATCGTCATATACGTCAACAACCTGCATGTTAACCTGGCCCATACATACGTTACACTATATCTCCATGTCTTCTAAATTCAGAAATCATCTAGATCGCCTTTAACATTTATTAATGAACCCATCATAGTCGTTGTTGCTAATCGTATTTGGATTTATGGATTGGTTTATCATATTAGCAGCCCCAAATGCGAACACAGTTTAGATAATGAGATTAAAAATTTAGAAAATATCAACTGCACTAGTAAAATAACTAAATCCCTGGGTAGCTGTTGGCTAAACAAACGTTTAAAATCAAAACTCCGTAACCTACTAGAATTAACACTAAACGAATATTTCTGAATTGAAATTTATAATTAAATTAGGCGTCTCGAATTCTGTGACATTACAAATTTCTGATAATTTTGAATCACCTAAAGCAACAATACCTATTTTTCCACGGACTAATCGTCATTCAACACAATGACTAGTTAAACATAATAGTTTCAGGATATCATCATAAAGCATTGTCATGAATTGACAATCACGTAATATGATTGATAAAATTAATGAAACTATTAACAAAATCGGTCAGCAAATTGACATATAATTATCACTAGTGTTGTTTTTCTTTTATCTTCATTCACTACAGATGATTACAGTACGTTTCTCTATCAGATGCTCACTCAGTAAATATCTCGAAACCTTGTCAGTCTAATTGATGGTCTAGCGACACAATCATGCATGCAAATAATCAGTATAAGCAGTCGATCAAATCTCCTGTAAGCTGAAAACATCAATGTCGAATTTACCCCAACACTGACTAAGGTTCAAGCTATTATCATAGGCATGAGTTGGGAGTGTACTCCCTTTGATTACAACTTATGTTCTCCCTGTTAATCTCATAAGCATCACGCACTATTAATCATCTTGTAAAAACTTATTTAGCTAAATACATCTTGCAGCATCACATCACTTAGTAATATGACACATGGGCTTAGCTGATTTTAATAACTTATAACCACTATATCTCAATTAAATCGTGTTCTGCCTGCATACGTGCAACTAACTTGTATGTCCAATCAGCCGGCAATTATGAATATAAATAAATAGTCTGCCGCAGATCAGAACATTGAGTCTAGAGCATGTCTCTTACGAATACACTTATGTTTAACGATTCGTTCCTAGCTATCTGTCCAAAATTCATATCATCATCACTCACGTATTTAAATTGTTTTGATAAACATTCATGTGTATTAGTAGCATTACTAAATTCTATCACTGTCAAGTAAAAATGAGGTTGGAAAAATCTCCCCGTAACTAAATAAACCGTATCAAACTAACTGGAACACTAGTTGGAATTCTTCTCCACGGTAATACTTTTGTTCCTTCAGTTAGCCTACTAATACAGATGCAATTGGAAATCGACTCATATGGACAACTTACCGGCATAATCGTTATTTGATTTCATAAGTTAGACTAAAAGTAGTACTAATATTAACATTTCTACAATATTCATAACTTTAATATTTCTAAACACAAAATACATACTACCTATACGTTAAGTTATCAACCAACGGCTATTACACACGCATCGTTTTATTATTACTATTATTATTATTGTAATCCCATTTTTTTATAGCTCAAATAATCACTCAAATTTTCATTGTAAGCGTGTTAAGCATGAAGGCAGATATTTTAAAATTATTACATGTATTTCCCGACCAGATGCTGCCGTCTTATTTTTGATTTATCTTTCAGCTTGTCATCACCCGGAGGATTCTT